TCTCTCTGTTTTGTGAGGGGAAAGTAATGAGTCAGGCACAGAAGAGATTGTCTACAAAAATTCCTTGTGTCTTTTCCCCACCTCTGAATGAAAACTGATAATAAAGCATCATTGTTTAAACATTGTTAACCAAGGTCAGCCAAATCAGCATATATTTGACTATGCAGATTTTCAAGAACAGCCTTCAATGCACAGTATTGTGTGCAGAGCTAGTTTGCCCCTTGTGGTGCACTCTGGATAGTGCACAAGCGTGATCCAATTACGGATTAGCAGTCTTAGGCAGCCAAACAACTACTCTGTATTAACACTGTAGTCTCCTGGCTAATGTACCATTGCCATATACTAAATAAATAATAATGCACAGAATAATAACAATCTTATTCCTTTTTTTCTAAGCTTGAAACTACTTCTAATTAATTTAATTGCTAGACCCAAAGAACATTTTCTATCCATGGCCCTCCCTAATATTCATAAGCTGTTCTAAAATATAAAATCAGAAACTGCGTTCTTATTATTTATTCGCATTTAGCAATAGCACTTAAGACTTATATACCACTTTACAGTGCTTTACAGCCCTCTCTAAGTGGTGTACAGAGTCAGCAAATTGACCCCAATAATCTGGGTCCTCATTTTACCCACCTTGGAAGGATGGAAGGCTGAGTCAACCTTGAGCCTGGTGAGAGTTGAACTGCCAAACTGCAGGCAGCCAGCAGAAGTAGCCTGTAGTACTGCACTCTAACCACTGCGCCACCGAGGCTCTTATTTATTCCTACAAATCATATTCTTATTGAATTTTTAAAATGTGATATTTTGGATTTGGGATACTAGTTTAGTATAACATTTATATAACCAACTTTTTCTGAATCTTCAAAAGTGATTTGTGTTATATTAAATGTAATTAGCATAAAGGGTATTTGTATTGTTCCTTCTTATGGCATGCAAATGATTTAACAGTTTTTGACAGCTCTGAAGAAATCTTGTTCTTTGCAATCACTTTAATCTTTTTTAACTTTTTAGTTTTTAAAAACTTTCTTGGATTTTATCTTATATTGCAGCCAGAAACAAACTCTGCATGTCTAATCACAAAACATGCATAAAAAATGGTAACAATGTAAAGACTTAAAGACTAGTGGTGTCAAATATATATCAGGGATGAGGATATATTAGCAACTTCTTATATTTCTTTTGGGTTTTGCTCTGTCATGTGCAGGGTTAAGATTGAATTTATCGAATTTAATTTATCGAGTTTGGATAAGATGGAAATGTGACCCATTTTTAAATTCATGCAGTTTTTACAATCAGCTAATTTACCCAACTCTGTTTTTTTGCATAGCTCATGGTGAACATGTTTACCTTCCTTCAGTGAAGACCTACCAGCATACATAACTCAGTCAACACATTAGGAGCAACGCTTGACAAGTTGTTGAACAGACTACTTTTATATATTAATATGAGGCAGCTCCACCAGCAGCTGAAAGTTCGCACAGCCATACACACAAACACACACACACACACACACACAAAATGAAGCTGCACTCCAGATCTCAGAAAGGGGAATCTTTCCAAATAGCCAAAGCAGAAAAGAGAATTCTGTACTGAGGTCCAGCACCAATGAGCTGCAGGCATTTGTGGTTAAGTGGAATTTATTCCACATACATTTCCTCAGCATCTTGGAATCAGTGGTGGAAAACATGAATTAAGCAGACTAAAATTAGTAATTGGCTTTTTAGCAGAAGCTCTGTCCATCAGAGACCAATGTTAGCTATACTGGGAAAAGGTACCAAATGTATTGAATCAGTTCCCTGAGATAAAATCATGCTCTATGAATATCGTACTTGCCTTGCCTCAGTGAGTAACTAAAACTTTTTTTTATACTTTTCTAAGTGTAGATTAAAAGGTAAAGGTTCCCCTCGCACATATGTGCTAGTCATCTCCTACTCTAGGGGGCGGTGCTCATCTCAGTTTCAAAGCTGAAGAGCCAGCGCTGTCCAAAGACGTTTCCGTGGTCATGTGGCCGGCATGACTAAACACCAAAGGCGCACGGAATGCAGTTGCCTTCCCACCAAAGGTGGTCCCTATTTTTCTACTTGCATTTTTCACATGCTTTCGAATTGCTAGGTTGGCAGAAGATTGGACAAGTAATAGGAGCTCACCCCGTTACACAGCACTAGGGATTCGAACCGCTGAATTGCCGACCTTTTGATCGACAAGCTCAGCGTCTTAGCCACTGAGCCACCGTGTCCCTTTTGTGTAGATTGTGTAGATTACTATTTACTAAATACAGATAGTCCTCGACTTACAACAGTTCATTTAGCAACCATTCGAAGTTAAAATGGCACTGAAAATAGTGACTTATATAAATAGTGATCATTGCAGCCTCCCAATGGTCACATGATTTACATTCAGATGCTTGACAACTGACTCATATTTATGATGGTCGCAGTGTTCAGGAGTCATTTTGTGACCTTCTGACAAGCAAAGTCAATGGAGAACCCAGATTCACTTAACAACCATGTGACTAATTTTACGACTGCAGTGATTCACTTAAACAAATATGGTAAGGAAAGTCATAAAATGAGACAAATTCACTTAACAAAATTTTTACTTAACAACATAAATTTTGGGCTCAATTGTGGTTGTAAGTTGAGGAATACCTGTACCACCTGTTGTATTTAAAACCAGATTGTCGAGGAGAAAATATATGTACTCACTAAGAGTCAACACGATTTGGCACATAATCAACCAATCAACTGTACATATAGGACTCTTGCCAAGGGATCATAAACAGGCAGCCTTCACCAGGCCTTAGCACTATCAAATTTGACTCAATCAAATGTCAAAACAGGTTGCTCAGCTTCGACTCTAAGAAAGAGAGTGGCATTACACTATGACAGAACAGACAATTCGTCTGAGATGCAGGAACTCAGTAATTATTAACTCCTAGCCCTACAAAATTGTTGTGAGGATAAAATGGTAAGAAAAGAACTATGTATCTTGCATTCACAGAATAAAAAGTTGACATGTAAAGGCAAACGTACAATAGAAATATCCCATACTTGGCAATAATGTAGTAAGTCTTTGTGAATAATATTCCAGAGTATGGAACCGCTTTCTAAGTGTTGAAAAGCAAAGTTATTATTTTGATTGATATCTGGAAACTCACATGGGAGCATAAGACAGATTTGGAGTTGAGTAACTGAAAGCTAATAGTTTCCCTTGGTCAGACTGGAAATAAATGAGAAGAGAAACACCGCTAAGTATGAATTATTAGCAAAAACAATTCAAGTCGTAATTAAGTATGAATACCAACCTTGTCCTAATCTTCCAGTGAGAGTTAAAACATAGTACCATGTTTCCCCGAAAATAAGGCCCTGCCTTATATTTTTTTGAACCCTGAAATAAGTGCTTGGCCTTATTTTCGGGAGGTCTTATTATTTTGGGGCGCATGGAGCAAGATGGAGCTCCTCTTGCCATCTTATCTGATTTCCAGCTCTGTGTTTAAATATTTTCGGGGAGAGTTTATTTTCGGAGAGAGGCTTATTTTAGCGCATGCGCTCAAAAGCCCAATTGGACTTATTATCAGGAGATGTCTTATTTTCAGGGAAACAGGGTACTTCAAGCAGTCACAAAGATGGGAAATGTTTAAACTAATCAAATAGCTGACAAATACTCAACTTATGCTTTATTAAAATAAGGTTGAAGTTGTCATCATTACAGGTAAAGGATTTTATAAATATCTGTACATTTAGCAGCCCCGTGACATGTGTTGTGCTATTCTTAGACCTTTTTTTTCCTGCTATATACATAGCATTGGTTTCATTTTATTGCAGATAAGTTCTCTCAGACCATTCCGTTTTAGCTACCAAAGATTTTAGCAAGCAGTACAGATAACTCATTTCCAGAATGGAACATTTTCTGGCACACCATATGGAACTGGAACTAACGGCGCAAGTGGAAATAAGGTGCTGGAATTCTATTTATAGCTTCATGGGAGGGTGGAGGATATTTCCTCATCGGCTTCTAAAAATGTAACACAAGTAAATTTTATATTGCCATCTTCAGTTCGGAGTCGGCACACACCCCTTCTACCCAACCCCATCACTTCCCCAGGGAATGGAAAAGGTCTTTCCTAAGGCCATTCCAACAGCTGACTTACAGACAGAACACAGCAAGGAACAGATGTAAACCAAACCAAATACAAAGAAAATCTCTTGACAACTATTGAAAACCCATTCGGATACAAAAAGCAATGACACTTCAAATTTGGCAATTCAGTGCTCAACCCCAACATCTATCTGGGTATCTAGAACAACCTAGAACTAAGAAGAAATTTCCTGATAGTAAGAACAATTAATCAGTGGAACAACTTGCCTTCAGAAGTTGTGGATGCACCAACACCGGACGTTTTTAAGATGAGATTGGACAACCATTTGTCTGAAATGGTACAAGGTTTCCTGCCTGAGCAGGGGGGGGGGGTGTTGGACTAGAAGACCTCCAAGATCCCTTCCAACTTTGTTATTCTATCTATGACTTAATAATTTAACTGGGAAGTCAAAAATATATGAGACTCAAAAACAATTTATGCTGTAATTAAGGAGCAAAGTTGAATCCAAGCATACCAATACCATTGGTGCCAGAATAACAGAACAGAATTTATTGCTATACTTCAATTGATAAATATATTGTACAGCTGCCTATCCTTTTTACCTTTTAATAGCAAACTTTCCCCCCCTGAGCAGCTTAGGTCTGATCTACTCATGGAGCAGTATGGGGAACCTCTTTGAATTAATGCCTTTTTCCTCAACTCCTTATTTCCAACTGTGTTGCGACTGCGACTTGAGAATGCTCAATGGACACAGCAATTCCAGGCAGATTTGGAAGACACAAGCAGGGAGGGAGATTTAAATTATTCCTGAAAGTAAATAATTAGTATAATGACAGGGAAAAAAAATGTCCAGGAAGATGTAAAGAAAGATGTGTTTTTAAACCCGAGAACTTACCACTGTGGGATTGCCGCTGCTTATCAACTGACTGACTTCATGAAAAATGCTCTTGCATTCAATTGATTTGTCTAAAGACCCTCGTTTCACTATTACTGCTACTGCTAACAATATCTGTTCCCGCACATATTTCTGGAGGCTGCAAAATAAAATATAAAATATATTGAGCACTGATCAAAATAACTACATTATTGTTTACAAAGCAAAAACACACAAACTCTTCTTAGTTGTACTGTTTTTAGAAAGCAGGAATGACTGGGGTGATTATCTATAAAATTCTTTTGTCTTCTGGCTGCCTTATGGTTTTTCTTATAAACCAGGAAAAGAGAATCTCTGGCATGTGGGTAGGATGTTGCCTGCCAGCCTTTTAATTTAGGTTTCAGCATCCTCACTGTCCTAGCCTTTAATTTTTCTCTGTGTGAAGGCAAACAATTCCCTTGCAGGCAGAGTTTATGGAAAGGGGAAAGCTACATCTTCTGACATTTTTGGGCAGATTCCTCTCCTGAACCAGAGGCTGAGGATAATTCCGATGAACACAGAAATGTAGACTCTTACTACATATTTAAGGGAAGGGTGGAACAACTGGTTCCTTCCTCTTCTGCAGAGAGGCTGAAGTGTGTCAGGAAAAGGCAATGGACTAATGTCAGACTGGTATTTCCTAACCCCAAATGCTACCTGGCCCTCTAAGCATAGTAGGCTGTTGGGGGGGGGCAGGGGGAGTATCGTCTTTGGGACAGATTCATATCCTGCAGCATCCCGTGTTACATCTCCCATTGTAATTTGCACAGCTCGTATATACATAGGACAGCTTTTACTTTTATTTATTGTTATATAGTGACTGTGGCTGTTTATAACAGTTTTATCTGGCTGAATTAAATTCTAGAATGGTTACATCTGTTTATTTGGATCAGGAAATTAGATTCAGCCCTGATATTTTGCTTATTGGTTTTCAAATGTACTTTTAGACTCTTAGTGAATGGTTTTAATGTTTTCATTCACAGCAGTTAGAGTTGAAATTGCAGTCTGTAATCAGCAATAGGTTTTTCACTTTCTGGAGTACATTAAAATAGTTAACAAACATTATCATATGTTAATTACTCATGTACCCTAATCCCATGTTTTATGCAAGACTAAGAAGACAATCTTACTTAAAGACAAGGATTTTTCTCATTTTTTCTTCTTCCCTCCTTTAAACTGCCCTTTGTGCATCATTCAAAGCTGGAACACAGAACAATCCTCTCAAACTGTATCTATATTGGAGATACAGCTTCAACTGTATCTTCAATCCCTTTAATTTGGGCAATCCCTCCTTTCATGAAATATACCCTCAATATCCGGACAGATCTAAGCCAATGGATGGACTTGTACAGACAAGAGGACTCAATGAGCAGCAAAAACCCAGTAAGCAAAACCTCCAGGAGGGTATGACTACCCCTGTTACTTTTAGAGTGGCCCTACCAATAGTGAAACATCCCTCCTAATTTACACCAACTTCTAGAAAGAATCTCAGAGGCCCAAAACAATAACCACAATTCAGGTGAACCGGTAGTAAAAAAAGCTAGCGGTTCAGTCAAACTGGTAGTTAAAAAAAGCTACGATCCGACGATCACTTGTGCTGCACGGTTTAGCTTTGCTAGAAAGCAGGATTTCTTGCGTGCACGCATGCGTACTAGACACCAAGAGGAGGCTTGGGAAGGTAAGTAGAACAGTGAGGGGATGGGATCAGCTGTGGAGTGCAATTTAGCTTCACTAGAAAGCAGGAAATCCTGCTTTCTAGCGAAGCTAAACCACATGGCACAGGTGATCGTCGGACTGTAGCTTTTTTTAACTACTGGTTTGCCCGAACCGGTAGCTTTTTAAATGTGCAACATGTGTTTGGTGCGCACTGCGCATGCGGCATGCATTTGGTGCGCAGGCATGGCCAGAGAACCGATAGCAAACCAGCTCAGATTTCACCCTGATCACCAACTACTAACATGTATGTGAACACAAGAAGTTCTTTTATATCACATACATCAAGTGGTCTGTATTAATTAATATTGTCTCTGGAATCATTCTAGAATGTCTGCTACATTTGACATCCTGTTTTAAACTGGAAATCTCAGGGACAGAAACTTCCCCTTGTATTTGCAGCACTGACTCTGCCAGTGAATTATGTTTTCTTTGGCCATGAAAACAGAAGCCAATTCATTATATGGATTTTATTTATCTCAATTGGGAAGCATATAATTTTTAAAGTTCTTATTCAGGAACCTATATAAATGCTTTAAACCATGCTCTGTACTTACTTTGGCCTTTGTAAGACATACGTTAAAAGGAATGTTCGTAGTGATTCTATACTGCTTTTTTCCAACAGAATCCATTCTCGTACAACTGCTTCCATTATCGCTGTGGCGGCTTGAAAAAGGACATAGTCCACTTTACTAGTTTCTGTTAAAGAAATGCAGGTTTATAAACTCATAATCTATAGGCAAAAGCTTGAAACATATACCTGGTTGATCTCCACATGAAAAATATTATTTTAATTTTATTTTTACTTTTGTCTGAAATTATAGGCTGGATTTTAGGACTATGTTTTTCTAAAGGACTCACAGCAATTATAAACTCATCCCTTACAATGTTCAAACACAGCTATATATATTTTGCAGCAGATATAAATATATATATATATATATAAATACATAAATCAACAGGAGAAGCAAGAAGTTACTGAAGCGCTAGCATCAGTAAGTTAAAATTAGAAGTAAGTAAATATTAGGCATATATAAGTGTTAAACCCAAAGTGATTTTTAAAGGGAATGGTCACACATCAATGCAAAAAGCAGACACTTTTAGAGACAATTCTCCCAATGAAAATCCAGTGGTGACATTAAAGTATTCCATAATATTTTGCTGTCCTCCAATTCAGTGTATTAACACAATCCTAGCCACAATCATATATGCAGCCACTAAAAGGATGATGCTATTGTGTTCAACTCACTAGCAAGAAAACACAAAACAGCAGCCTGAAATCAGAAGATTCTATCCCAATAGTGTATAATTTTTTTCTGAGAAGCATGTACACCAGCAGTGTCAAACTGGCAGCCTGTGGGCTGGATGCGTTATACACAGACCACACCCACCCCAGCTCCACGAAGGGAAAAAATGTCACGAAACATTACATGACAGCAACGTGATGCCACAAGTTTGATGTACACCATTGTCTTTATCAATCTTCCCATTAACATTTTTCTATTATTAGTATTTTTGGATGTTTTGGAACACCTGCCCAAGACATTTCTATTTGGTAACACTGCTTCAATTAAAACACCAAATATAACAGTTCTTCAAGTATTCCTCATTTAATAACTGCTACTGGGGCTGGCAAGTCCAATGCTAATTGAAGTGATCATTAAGTGAAACATCACATGACTACACCTGACTCAATGATGTCAGTTTCACCGCAGTTGTTAAGCAAATCATCCATAGCTATTAAACACAATGTCACATGATTGCGACATGCTACTACTACCTGTTGGTTTTCCAATTGTTTTGCTTGTCAGAAGCCAGCTGTGAGGGTCACAAATGGAAATCATGTGACCACAGGATGACATCATATATGAGCGCCAGTTGCAACATGCACAAATTGTGATCATTTGTTTACAAGGACCTTGAACTGGCCGTAAGTTCGAAGACAAATTGTAAACCTACTTTTTCAGTGCTGTTGTAAGTCCAAATGGTTGCTGAACAAGACAGCTGTTAACTGAAGACTACCTGTATTCTCTTAAACTTTATCTGAATATTTATTTCCTTATTAACATTAATTTTTTACACATGTATAATCTGTCCAGTTTGGTTTTGTGATGATCTTTTAAATACTGCAAAATCACTTTGTGTTTGATTCATCGAAAAGAAAGTAAGAAATATTTTAAATCACTGTAGTTTTCTTCAGAAAAGCATAAATTAAGTGTCATAGTTCTTAAGATGGTGTAAGGATACAGTTTCTGGAATCAGCTGTATTTGTATATTTGAATCAAACATCTTAACCATATTCACATAAAACCAAGACTCACTAGGATAAATGAGGGTTATTTTCCAGTTAGCAGTGCTTAATATTTGCATCTCTACATCCATATTGATACTGTTAGAAAAAACAGTATTTCACACATATATCCTTAGCGTGTTTTAGAAAGCTACATGATTATGAATTAATGGTACACTGATCGAAACATAGGACTTACCTAAAATATGTTTGCAAACTGCAAACGGCGATTTTGATTTTCTAAACGATAAAAATATGTGTTCGGCGTGCTGACGTTGTTCATTATTGACCATGGAGGGTGGTGCCTACAGAGAAAATAAAGACTTTTTCTAACTATAGAATATAGAAAATTGCCATTTCTTATTCAAGTATATATCACAATAAAAAGCCTTTACTTTCATCTATAAAAAATACGCTGAATTAAGGTGGTACTAAGGCAGTGGTAATAATAAGGTAGCAACTAATTAGTAAATCAGATGAAAGTTCATCACTTAACCTAGTCCATTAAAGTATTCTATTCCAACCTGCTAATCCAATCCAATCCAGCCTATACTATGTAATTAGCACTATTTGATATACAGGACAACTATATTTGGCTTAGAAACTCTGGATGACAGTTCACAATAAAGAAATAAATACAGAAATGGTAACTCTTAGCTAGATGGAAATCTAGCACTTATGTGGATTTTATGCAGACCAGATGATATTGATTTGTATAGCCATTCATTTTGCAAATGTGACTTTCGAAGGTGAACACAGGATTAAAACCAGGAAACAACCAAATGAAAACAATAATGTGCAAAGAATAAAGAACATCATCCCTAGAAATGGTGGTATAATTTCCAATAACAGTAATAAGATATTATATATTAAGATATAGAATGGTAATTCTTTGATGTGGTTTTCAATAGTACCCTGAAGATGTGTTCAAATGAATAATTTAGTTGCATTCATCAAATTGTCGTATTGCTGCTCTTCTCCTGTGTGGATGCCATCCCAATGTGTAGATTTTCTCAGAAATTCCTACCAGGATAGACATGTAGAGAATTCTGGGGCTTAAGGCCTATACATCTAATGGATACCCAAACTAGGGAAAATTATTCTACTGAGTTTTTCCCCCCAATATTTCACAGAAAAGATAATGAAATGCCAATTTAAATGTGGAAAAAAGCTCTTTCCAACTCCAATATTATGTATCTTCTTACTGATAAGGAATGTTGGATCGGTTACGGATATATTTGTTATAGTATGACATATTAATTTATAAAGGTAACATGCCTACAGTGTGATCATTATTGCGATTGTGTTTTTTTTATCTTGGATATTTTTTATTAGCATTTCACAAAGCTGATAAGCAACCAAACAAGATATATCAATAAATCATAGTTCTACAAATAAACCTATCAGTAGCGTGCAAATAATTAAGATTAAGATATCCTTTACTGTCATTTTCCTGTATACGAAGTGGCACACATTAAAATTAACTTCACTTATGTAAAAATACTGGAATAGGTGGCTCTACTTCTTCCCAGGAAGAAACTAAAAGTTAGAAACCTGAATTTTCAGACACTATAGTGTAGTAGCATGCTGCCCTCTAGTGCAATTCCAGCACTGATTCAGAAAAAAGCAAGATTGCTCATGTTGAGTTTGATTAATTAGAATCACTAAAAAGATGAAATCTCCTTTGAATTATATTCAATTACTAGCAATGCCATATATGCAGTTTTAGTATGGTTGTTGTTGGCCACTGCCTTCTTCCAGGATGTTTAGCCCACAGTCCTGTGGTTTCATGTGGTTCCCCCAACCAAACATGGCCAATATAATTTAGCTTCTAAAATCAAACACAACCGGGGAAGTACTGCCATCTGTTGGCATGAAATAAAAGTTGGGTTGTAATGTTAAATTATGTCGAGGCCAACTCACTACAAAGATCAAAATACTTTTCATTTATTGGGCATAACGGTAGATTGTACAGTTATAGAGACTAATCTGATTTTGAATTTAATAACTACAGCCAGACTTTTGGTGGCGCAATATTGGAAGAAGGAAGAATTATCTACTATTAAAGAATGGGCATTAAAAGTAGCTAACTTGGCGGAGATGACTAAAATCTCTGCATATTTGAAGGATCATTCGAATGAAAGATATGTACTGGAATGGAGAAGATGGATTGACTATATACAAAACAAATATGGGACTAAAAAGTTGCAAATAGCTTATGAATGAAATATTTAGATGATTTTTCTTCTTATTCTGACATTTTGGTATCTATGGGGGAGTTAAAGAGTAAGGGGGAGTTAAGATCTTATAGTTAGTTTGTTTATGTTAGATTATGTTTGTTAAATGCAATATCCTGTATTTTGCTCTGGGAAGTCGGGGGGGGGGAGGGAGGGAGAAGGGAATGGGTGGGGGGAGGAGGGGGGAAATCTGTTTGTAAAACATTCTAAAACTTTTCAATAAAAAAAAAGATCAAAATACTTTTCCAAAATGCTTATCAGCTCTAAGTGGTAGAATAAGTACAAAGTCCAGAAAAAGCTTGCATAAATAAATGATCGAGATAGAGTCTGATGAATCCCACAAGATGTATTTCATAACTATAGGATTCTTATGAAAAAGGCCCATCTCTCTCTCTCTCACTTATCCAGCCAACGTCTTCTTCTCTCACATATTATTTCATGGAATATGTACGTGACATTGGCATTTTCACAGCACAACCCATGTAAAGAAATGCCTGTGAAGGCAAATTTTTTATCTTTCTCCTTAGCATAGCCATCCATTGTTCTAATGCTGAGAGTTCTACCAAACTGTTTCATTTGAGGCTGTGATGAAGGGAATGGATCCATAGCTCTATCAGGATAGAAGATCCCCATATCATTTAACAAGTACAAGTGTTCCTCATTTAACAACCACTCATTCAGTGTGACCATTGAAACTTGTGACAGTGCTTGAACAAGTGGAGATGAACAGGCTGAGCCTAAGGGTGGGGTTAAACGCGTCATTAGTTTAGACTCATTGCATTCTCACAAGAGACCTAAGTCCAGTCCCCCCATGAATTCTGTTGACCCTTATCTAGTGCCAATTTGGCTTGACCATTAGTAATCAGATTCTTGTGTATAAGCTGCATGTAATACAATTTTAGTGCTTCCTGTTCCTGGTTACTTGCATCTAATATAACAGTCCTCGAAGTTCTGGCCGGTGTAGAATCACTACAGTCACACAATCACAATCTAAGCACTTGGCAACTGGCCCGGATTTCCAATTGTTGCAGTGGCCTATGGTCAAGTGATTGTGATTCACGATCTTCCGTGTCAGTTTCACAGAAGCAAAATCAATGGGAAAGCTGGCAAAAAGTTGGGAGTTGCAATCACATGAGGTTTTTCCTTATAGTGACCTGCATGATCCTCACTTGACAGTGGTACCTGGGCATCGCTGGAACAGCCATCATTAAGTGGCAGGTCACATGACATTGCATTTTATAACTGCATAGGTTACCAAAAGGAATTATGGTCCCAATTGCCAGAAAATGGCAACTGAATAAAATCATAGCAGAGCACTGTGCAAACTTAAGGGACTTTTGTAGTATCTGTAATTTTACACACACAAAGTGCATATTAAAGTCTTACTGAAGTATATGTGCATTATCTTGTCTAAGCAGTATGTGTAATTTTACACACAAAGTACATATTAAAGTCTGGCTAAAATATGTGTGCATTACCTTGTATAAGCAGTAGATACAAAACTCACCAGACAAACCATAAACAATATATATACATTACAGACAAAGTGATGAAATGATCACTTTCACTTGATTGAAACTCAAATCTGATCCCTTCTTCTAACTGCAACACTTCAACAAGTTGCACAATTTAACATAAACATACTTCAAAGGAACTTACAGCCCTATTGGACACCTCCAAATCAAATATTATTTGCTATTACGTTGCAGCAGTATTAAATTACTTTGGCAACCAATAAAATATTTTGTTCTCCCAATAAGGCATATTGAAAGAAGGAATATTTTCTTTTTAAAAAACTTCAAGAATAAGAATGTACTGGAAAGACAAGGCAAGCATGTTTTTATTAGCCCAAGAGATTACAAAAGATGGCTCAATGGCTTTTTTAAGAGGCAAGTCAATAAAGGACAACTTATTCAAACACTCTACAATAAGAAGCAGAATGACACTTGAGATCAAACCCACACTTGACAAATTTTATTACTTGGAGAAAACATCAGACAAAGAAGTTGTAACAGCAATATTTTTAATGACCATATTTTGCTTAGGAAAGCTTTGTCTAGACAAATTATCCCAGGCCCTGTGAATAATAGTACTACCATAATGTTATAAGGATTTATGAGAATTATAGACAGCTTGGGAAAAAACTGACAATAGTACATTAATTTATAGTAATAAAAAAAGCCCAATGAGCATTTTGTAACACATAGGAATGAGAGGAACACTAAAAATCGACTAACAAGACTGCTTCAGGAATTTATATTGCTCTGGATAAGCAATTGCACAGCTAAGAATAGTTGTACACAGGAATGGCCTCCATCAAGAGAACATGGCAATTCCTTTCCCTGGGTGTAAGAGATGGGGGGGGAGAGAACGGAGGTCTGCAGGAAAATGAGGGGAAAAGAAGTCCCATTGTGCAAATAACCACCCTTTCAAAATACAAATCAGCATGAAACACTACAATTCTAGGCAAAATTGTGGGTCCAAATATATCCTATTTTGGGTACAAAATAAATTGTAACATTTGTGCTGGTCAACCAGGAGCATTCACTTTGTATCTCACAAGGGGAAAAAAAAACCTGCTTTGCTTACAAGTTTTCATTTCTGGAAATTTCTGGATGTCTAATTAATGCTTCAACAGCAATCCAGAGAGCTGCTTAAACTTATCAATTTCTGTGATCGTTCAGTGGACTTTTTTTCTTCTTCAAACAGATAAGTCCTCATTATAGTAAAAGTAAAAGTATTTTTGAAACTCCTCTTTTCTTAACATGGCTTGTCCTGTGGTTTAGATTCCGAATTTAGTTTTCAAAGTAATGATTTTATCAAGTATTCCTGAACTTGCGCAAAGAAGATATGGATTCTTTTTTTCTTCCGAGCAACATAAATATAGATATAGAGGTATGCTGAGCTCCAAAGGCAAAAGCTCTTCTGAGGATTTGAGTTCACACTTGTGTACAACTCCTTCAAAAAACACTTGTCTTCATAGTTCTTCGTAGCCACAGTATGAAGAGTAGCTTGTGTTACCTGCCAGCTCAAGAAAAGATGTAGCGGCTTTAAGGAATTGCAGGCTG